CTCTACTTCATCTCGGCCATGTATGCGATGAGATCAGCACGCTCCTTTTCCTTCTTGATGCCCGCAAAGACCATCTTTGTTCCCGGGATGTACTTCTTGGGGTTCAGCAAATATTCGAACAAATGCTTCTCGGACCACTGAATGGCAGCATTCTTGTTGGCCTCGGAGTATGCAAAGCCATCGCATGTGCCGGACGTGCGACCAATGAGGCCCCAGAGTGGAGGGCCCTGCTTGGTAAGGCCACCTTGCTCGATGGTGTGGCACTGAGCACACTTTGCCTTGAAAAGCTTTGCACCCTTCTTGCTGTCACCTGCGGGCACCTCAACGTCCGGTTCCGGCACAGGCATGGCAAACGCACAAGAACCCTAGTTCCGTGACTGACTTGGCGCACAATCTATGCCTTCGGGCTTTGCACCTTGAGCAACGTCGGCGAGTGACTACTTCATGGATCTTCGTCATAGCAAAGCCCAAATCATGAACTGCTGGACATGTCGCGCAAGTTTTCACGGCCTGTCATTCTCCCTGTGGTTCAACTAATTGGTAGGCACGCAGCCACGTATGAATTCCTGCATTTATGCAGTCAGCCTTTCACTTTGTTGCTGTCAGCCTTGCATATGAAGCAGGGCGAAATGCATACGCTTGCCAACTTCAATGCCACGGTACAAGGCTTCATAGCACACAAACATGAGCTTTGGAGGAAGTCAAGTGAAAGTAAGAACTGCTCACATCAAAACGAAATGTCTCACATGCACAAGTTGGGTGCAAACGAGGGGGGCAAGATTGTCCCCATCCTACTCTGGCCTTGTTGTAAGTTTCATTTGGCGCAATGCACAATACTCATGAAACACTGTCCTTGCTCTTGCCATACCCTCTCCAACCAAGTGCGCAACGTTGGCACACCAACAAATTTGCGAGAGTACCTCTAGTCTCCAGGCAAAAACTCTTCGAATGATGGCCACTGCATTAGCTACTAGGAGCAAGGACGCTACTAGTAGCTCCTGGCATTACTACTAGTAACGAGAAGCTACTAGTAACAAAGTGCATCGCTACTAGGAGCAAGGACGCTAATTACTAGTATTGCATGGGCTTTGGGCACTCAGCAAGCAAAACAGGAAGAGCCCTCGAAGGACCTCGATTCAGAATTTGTCTCAGGGGGGCCCAGCAAGCGTTGACGACTACTCTTTTAAGAAATCCTTGTAAGGATTTGGCACAGAACTCACCGTGAACCGGAGCTTTCAGGGGGCACTCAATTCCCTGCAAATAACAACGCAAACGGGCATTCGTCATGCCAGGCTTTGGCATCGGTTGTGGCGAACGGATGATGATATTTTCGAACATTAGGGGAAACCGGTGAATAACAATGCTAAGGCGGCTATATTGAAATTGATGTTTTACGGTTCAATAATGATCAAGTTTACAATTCTTCCATGCAAATAAAAGTGCAATGCGGACTCAAAGTGGATAACCCTAAACTCTAAAACCGAAAACCCTGAACCGTAAAGGCCTACATCCTAGTGACCCTTAGTTGATTGGTGGGGGGGGCGGATGGCGAGTTCTTGTACTTCAGATTCTTCCAGGTTAACTAGCAAAGAGGCACGATTAACGCAGTTGTTAGATGACTTGGTGCAAGAAATAAGTGCTGCTTGGGTAAGACCTTGCCAACAACCAGCAAGTAGTCAATGACCAAAAATGTGTTTGTCACTTGCAAATTATATATATATATGTGGCTTGAAAGCTTACCTAGATTGAGCAGATTGAAGAAAGAGTTGTAAAGTAACTGTCTGATTACATTTTGCAGCAGCCCATTGTTTGCGTATGTGCTGTGTGAAGCATTCTGGTCACTATCTAGCTTGTTTGCGTAAAGGCTTGGTTGAACCGAATCTTTTGGAATGTGTGCAGCCTGAGCTGGGCTATTGAGCCGCTCAAGCCTCTGACTGAGAATGGCAATAATTCCCAAGTGTGGGAAATACCTCACAGAGAAAGTTAAAAGAATGACATAGTCCGACATTGTCAAAAAAAGTAATCCAAGCACATCTAATTTCATTGCTGCAGAATGGTTTCACAAATGTAACACTATTTGCAAAGGTGCTTGGTGCCAAACACAGAATCAGCACCTTGCTGATATTCTGCTTGTAAGCGCGCCTCAGTCCACATGCGGATAGCCAGAACGTGATGAGCTGTGTGAGGTGTCGGGCCAAAGGAACAGCGCCTGCAAGTCCTAGCAGACTCAACAGGCAAAACCAGAAAATGCAAGAAAGGGTTGCAGGGATCAAACACAAAGCTTCCACTATTCTTTGTTGCCTGATGAATTGCACGCAAAGAGTGCTTGAAGCATTGCTAACGAGGCGTCTTGCTATCCTTATGACGGCACGTGTGTGTTTCTCTCAAGGGTTGGACTACACATTCCTGCTTTGTGGCCTTGTCACTCACTAGCGTGGGTTTCCCTGCCGATTTCTTCACAGGCTCAAGAACAAAGAAGGCGCTTGACAAACATGACACACTACCTACACAGAAACTGCACAAGCGGCGGGCTTTTGGCGACACAGTCTGCATAGGGGCAACGACATGTCTGAATATGCCTGGCCCCTTGTTGGGGAATCCATCACAAAGCACAACAGTTGATTCTTAGACCGGCTAGAGGTCCATTCACGTCCAATCACAGACCTTTGCGCTAGGATCGATGCGATCTGGTTTCGTTTTGATCCAGGCAACTTCGCTGGGTAATAAAACACCAGCTCCGCTACCCCAAACGGAGGCTTTGGGCTGTTTTGCTGATGTGATCTCTGCATTACTATGCCCAAAGGTAAATGCGGAGCAAGGACGATGTTTTCCTTAGCCTCTGAGATCAGACTGGTTTGATCAAATGGCTACAAACACTGAAAACTGCAACAGGAAAACACAAAATGATTCCGCACTTTCTGCGTAGTAGACATGTAACTGGCCCAACATCTAATCCAACAAGGACAGGTCTAAAGCTCAAGACAAAATGAAGAAAGAAGTGAAGAGCATTGTGAACTTCTACGACTGAACCTCAGGACCTACAGCAGAGCAGCAGAGCATGAGCGGAGCAGCAGTGAGCGCTATGGACACACTCATCAAAGGAAGTTTAGTGTGCAAAACTTCCGTGTTACGGACATTCAACAGCTGTTCAACCACCACTCATCATACACCA